AACGCTGCCTAAGCTTCCACGCTCAGTGAATATACAACATAGTCGAGATATCGCAGCAGAAAGGGACCATTGCGGAGTAACTTCGGTGTTGGTTGCAGGGGGGGGGTGGTAAAGTCGGTTAAGTCATGTCCTTTGTGCGGCTGCATTTGTAACGTCGCTTACATCGTCGTCTCTGACTACAATACCTTTTCCTCGTTGCCTCATCACCTCGGACGACGTCCTCAAGAGTATGACCTTACCTCTTACGGGGGTCAAGTTGACCAACGGGAAGGAAGGCGGCTTTCTCCTCGATTTGACCGCTACCGTAAGACGTGATCACCTTGCTCTTTTACTCCTGCTATATTGATTAACAACCATCAAACCAACTTCCACTACTTACAAGTCCCGACGAAAAAAGTTTCAAGCTACCTGATCTGTTAAGCATTCTCGACAGGACCCTATTCATCAATGCGGCAATGCTGTGAGGCTGCGTTTATGCTGCGCGACCCAGGTCCCTTGATCGCGCGATTTGCGACCGACCACGCTTCATAGCTAATTGTTGGACTACTGAACCAGTAATCAACCAATAATCTCACTTACGACGGTGAGGACAAAATTAGTTCGAACTTATAGCGATCCCACGACTACGTTGCCGCAGCTTGGAAGTAACTCTATGCACCCTTTCCATAGAGTCACCAATAAGCAAAAAAGTGTGTGACATGGTTCTCACCCACTGGCACCCCAAATTCAAGAAAATGTTCTTACTAGGCATAGCTGGACACAAATTCTCTGTAACACAACCTCGAAAGTCCACTCAAACAGAATCATACCTATTGGTGGCTGTGGATTGAGAACAATACACAAGCTCCGTTTGCGATGGGATAGTGTTGCAGTTGCTCATAGTTCCGCTTATCGTGGATGGTTTCGTCTCATCCATAAAATCCATGTATGAGGCAGGGTTGCTACAAGAGGTCGAAGGCTTGCTGATCGCTATGGGATTTGTTTCCTCCGTAAAATCCGCATAAGAGGTTACGTCATTGCGAGAACTCGAAAGCAGACTGATAGCAGATACTCCGGCTTCTGCCGGCCACAAAGGTGTAGAGTGGTAGCGTCGGAGAGCAATGCTCATAAAATGACAAATATCCTTTGCTGTGACACTACCTTCAATCTGAAAATCAAGAAACACTGCATTTTTCGAAAGAAATGATTCAGAAAATTCACTGGGAAGGAAACTTACGCCTGCAGCAATCATGAAACCATTCACGAATCGTATTACATGAGGCGGTATGTCATCTGTTCCAACATATGCCGTACTTCCGGAAGCGTTAGGATCCTCAAAATGTTGGAACTGCTTTCCAACCGACTCCATCTCAGCGGCTATATATTGTGCCTACAATACCTGCTCATAATTCGTGAAAGGGAACTTGAATTTACGTTTCTTTACATTCCGCCGCAAGCAAAACAGCCGTACACGAAAGCGCACCACGTTCAATTTTATCAATAACCTCACTTGCGGTACTTGTCTGTGCCCTTTTAGGTTTCACTGGGGCGCCAACGCTCTCCATAGCTCGACTTCGGCGCATGCCGCACGCTTAGGGCACGTGAGAGCGCGTTTAGACTTCTCGCACGGGTTGCTCGATTGGAACGCGCAATTAGATGTCGCCATCGGATTGCGCGACCACGAGGGGAGGGGGCTCTACCGCCAAACGGTGAACCGTCGCAACAGCACAATTCAAATTGGCACTGTGTTAATTGACGACATTCTGAGCCACCGGTGGCTCATGAGTGAGTGGCCACGTGGGACAAGAATCATGATTTTCTCCATCAATTTTTGGGTTATTGCCGGCAGTCTCAATCGATCTTTTTCTTGCTTTCGAGTAACCTGTGGAAGGTGAGTTTCCAACAAGGATGAGCAAGAAAAATGTTGCTGCCCCCATGAGATATTTTGAATTAAAAATTGAAATTTTTCAACTAGCTACTGCTGCGGCAGAAACCTCCAAAATAGTTCACATCTTATGCACAACACGCGGCTAACAAAAGAAATGCGAAAACGGACACTCTTTAAATCACAATACAATGAGATCTCATTTGTCATGGAGCCATACCTAGGCGCCAGTAAAGGCGCCATTTTGGCGCCAGCGATATTTCGACACCGAATTTGATAGAAACCTCTACACTTAGGTTATTTGACATCCTTGTCACGGATGTATCGCTGCCTTCCAAAGTTGGCGCCACCTGGCGCCAGCGGGCGCCACTTTGGCGCCAGCGATCTTCTTGGCACGGGTGATGGGTAGAAACTCCGAACCCTGTTTATTTGGCGATACGTACGAATGATCATTCTCCTGTCTCAGTATTAATGCGCGCCCGTAATGGTGATCTGAGACAAATGAGATAAAATATGGATAGTGGAATAAAATATGGATAAATAAGTGATAATAAAATATTGCTAGAAATCGCGAAAATCGATCTAAAGTGGGCGGAGCTAAGTGTGCGGAGCTTAATGGCCATCTTTGTGCAATCGCTGTGTCTGTTGGACTATGTGAGAGCGCGTCTCAGACCTTCGCGATGCGCGTTGGATCGAGGATTTGGATGCGGCGATCGAGTGATCGCGCGATCTGGATCGCGCGATCGCGCTACTGTGGGTGAAATTACACCGGGAGGGATCATGTTAGTTCATGTTTATTGTTCCTGTTCTTTTTTTCTTTTTCCTCTTTCTCGCTTGTGTAATAAGCCCTCGCTTAATTTAAGGAACGTTTCGGAGAGAGAGTGCGTAATTTATCCTATGTAAAATAGTACTAAATATACAATATGCTAATTATTATACTGAATTTTGCATCTGAGTACGTTCAAGCGGAGTGTTGAACATCTTGTTCCAAAAGTAAGACACGCAGAACTTTTAACAGCGGGTGATGTTGTTTCTCTCCCTTCCCCGATTTTGCCAGTCCTCCAGATATTCACTTTACTTTTGTCACATTGTGTTTGCTTTGTTTGTTCTGCCATCCTCCAGGTCTATACACAACCTTTCCTTTCGACGGTTTCTGCAAACGTCAGTATTGCGAATATGAACACGGAATAAAAGACATCAAAAAAGGTCGAACTACTTTTATATCGTTTTTGGAACTGCCTATTGGAGGCAGGATACAGCATCGTGATGTGAGAAATGGTGATATCAGTACGACTCCCCAGAACTTTGTTGTTGTTGTTTGTTGAGTTGAGTTGAACACGAACGAACATGACCCCTCCCGGTGTAATTTCACCCACAGTAGCGCGATCGCGCGATCCAGATCGCGCGATCACAGCGATCGCGCGATCCAAATCACGCGATCACAGCGATCGCGCGATCCAAATCACGCGATCCAGATCGCGCGATCGCGAAGTCTGAACGCGCTCTAGAGTGTGTTTGAAAGCCTCTGTAAGAAATGAGCGTGCGCTATGTGTTGTCGGTGCGGCCATCTGTGAATCATTGTAATGTGTGAAAAGCAGAGAATTCCAAGTACACATTTTGGAAATCACGGTCGCGCTAAAAAGTGGGCGTGATCGCGGAGGGCGGGGCATGAGATGGCATACAATAGGTCAATAGATGGTACTGAATCGGCAGTCTCTAACACGAACTGCTTATGCATTTTGTTCGAAATTTGCATCGCGGCAAAAAAGTGGCCTACGAGGGACAATATGAGCGGACGCATGCGAAACTCCACTGTCCCACATGGCGCTTTCCCACAAAATGTCGCGATTGTCGTTAACCGTGTTAATGCGGTTTAGTGAATTCGTCGTGCGCCACGCCTGTCAGAAGACACACCTGGTACGTGGTCGTGATCGACCCGAAGATATGACGCGGTCTTACCAACACTTTCATTACGATACCTTGGCCCACAGCCAACATATTGGCAACACCTATACGTGGGCCTACTCATTGCAATTCCAATAAGGGAGGATGGAAGTATATCCGGCTATCCAACCCTCCAGCATCACTTCTGTGCACTTCCAGCTGGCGAGATTGGTTGTCTGCGTTCATACTTCGCTATGCGATCACGACAGCGGACCCTCTACGGCCAATCATTAAACAGTGGTAACGGCAGAATTCAACTTTGACCACCCTCGTGCAGTGCTTGAAAGCGGCTCAATTCGAATTTCGAAATGTTCAAGTTCAACAGTTGCGGCGGTCCAGCGATTGGCAGTAGAGGGCTGCGGTCGTGGGCGTGCGACCCAGTCGCTCTAGCGATAAGAGCCGCGTGATCCAAGGTGTCCGATCGCGAAGTATGAACGCGCTCGCACCCTTCTACAGCTGTGTCCACTCACCACTTAAAAATCAGCCTCGCATAAGAGTCCAGCCTCTTTTCAGACTTACTTAACTACTTTCAAGCAGTTCAGATTCTGATACACTAGATCACTTTACAACACTGTTGCAGACTGTGGATCGTGAGGGTGACAAACCAAAGCGAATGGGCTAGATGGGTGGACTATAAAAAAAACATAAAATTAATCGAAAACGCCCAAAACAGGACCTCCATGGCTTTGGGCATGATAAGGGCCCATAGCGAAGAGACAAGGGCTCAAGCGAAACAGCGAAGGAGTTGCAGACGAATGAACGGACCGCTACAGAAGGCTGATTAAATGATGTGAAAAGGAAGCGCGTTTCCCGGGGCGGAGCTTGTTAATTGTGCAGACCCCTAGCGTTCTCAACAAGCACATTGGAGCCTCGAGAAAGGAACATTCTCTGCAGTTGCGGAACACCGAGAGGAAAAAAAAGGCATGGACGGATTGGGCTGCCATCCACACTTCTAAGCACTTATAGCCTTGACGAACATTGCTCACAACTGCTAAAAATCTCTAATATAACAACTCACCGCAAGAACATAGTGAGGATGACACAGGAACCTTCTGTTCACATGGCAATCATCGTAAACGCTTTTCGGATCCACGTTTTTCTTCAAACCGCCACATACCGATAGGCATGCTACCAGAATCGCATTTTGTACTTTTGTTGCAGATGCACTCCTCATTTCTCGTTCGTCACGGGAATCTCCACATATGACGCACAGCCTTTTCCTTTCCATGAACATGATTGGGCGTCTGAAAGAAAAAAGTTAGGTGTTCGGAGCAAGTTCGCTCTAAATTCTTTGACGAAGTGATCTATTCCAGCCACTGATAAAAGCAACAGTTGCGACTATAATAGCAACCGACGTCTCTTATACTCTGAAGCTGCAAATATCATTTTGAAAGGGACGCCAACCTTGATGCGCTTCTTCCATCGATCATAGCGCGTTCATGCTTCGCGATCGCGCGATTAGACGCGATTTCGCGCGAATATGTTATCAATCCCTGTCAGCTGTAACAGTAGCTGCTAGCCGGCTGCTGCTAAATTTGAGTGTGCAGTTCAGAGGCCGTATGCTACAGTCTTGTTCGCTGCGAAGAAGGGAGGGGGGGAGGGCGTGTCAGAGGTGAAGGATTTGGCGTAGCTTCTTTTCCTTTGTTCTTCCGGTTAGCAACTAGACTGTGTCATTTCGCTTTCCACCAGTTCTTGCCGCTTATCCGCATCAACAACTGATGGAGAACGAGTGTGTTGGGAGAAGAGTGCTACTGGGAAATGTAGCACGGCTACTGACTTCACTCTACGCTCGCTGTATTCCATCAGGCTGCGTTCAGACTTGGCGATAACGCGCTAATGGTGATAATGCCATAGACGTGAACGTAGTCACAGATACGTGTCGATCGGCGTGTGTCACTAGTGTCTTGGGAGAAGATAGGTGAACAGAGAGAGTTCCAGATTGTGTACTACTTGGTAATCTAACAATGGCTACTCTTCTACGCTCCTATACTCTCCAGAATACTACGCACACACTGCCGCCCTCCCATTCTTCTAAACTACAAAAAAAACTAGCGGCCAATCAATGTCCGTCTATGCCTGCGTTCCCGTCTATGGCATTGGAGCGCAGCTGCAACGATAGCGCGTCGGCGCTGATCGCGAAGTCTGAACGCAGCCTCAGAGCGGGCACAGGAGAGGAGAGGAAGATTGAGGGGACGCTGAGCCACGAGAGGCAAGATAATCACAGGATTCGCTAGAGAATGAACAGATAAGCGGAGAGGGATCGTAACCCTAAGGGACAAGATTATAAGTTCAGGTTGTCAGGCAATTACAGTACCCCCCAAATTTGCGCGTCAAGTGAAAAACATCCATGTTGAGTGCACCACCACACTACATTACACGCCAAACTCATAGTAGTCTTGCGACTCGGCACTCACACGGCACTCATTAGCGCAATCACCGCCATTTAGCACACTGATGAGGCTGTGCCTGACAGATCCTTTGGGGCAGGCAGCCCTGGCAGAAGACAATAGTAATGTAAGGATGGTGATCATGTCCATAACCTGGACGTCTAGATCCTGTGTACAGGTTCTCAGCTGATTCAGTGATCCACGGTTTTTTTGCGCGGGCGGCAGGCAGCTCCAGGTTGAGCGGATGTGATATTCGTGTTCAGGAGGTCGAACAACCCCCGAGCACAAGTTTTCTGCGAATTCGGCAATCCAGGGTACCATTGCGAGGGTGCCAGGCAGTTCCATCTTGAGCGGATGTGAAAAAAAACACCCGGTTTTTTGGCCGCTTAGGTAGCCAGTCTACCTTAAAGCGCAAGTTTTCGCCGGATTCGGTGGTCGTGGATATCCAAGCTGCTTTAGGCTGAGCGGATGTGACATTCGTGTTTAGGAGGTCGAGCATATCGTACGCAGCCCGAAACGTACCATTTCTCAGCTTTGTATAAGTTTACAAGACTTTATAAAGCGTAACACCACATTCACAAGTGTTTACAAAACGTCTTCTCTCTCCTTTCCCCAGAGCGGAGTACCGCCCTGAACACTAGTGATTGTCTTCATTCAACTTTGGCTTGAATACTCATTTATCATTTATAGTGCAGGTAACAGTTTGAGAATGTATGCAGAATGTAAGCGGCATAGCAAGACTGCGTCCATAATTTGTTGTAGCGTTAAGAGCGTACGGGACCGTTTAGAGCGGCTGGGAAAGCATAGAGATCGAACTACATGCGCGTACGTTTTAGCGTTTTCAGCGCCTCCGCGCGAACAGGTCACCAAACATAAGCAAAACGCCTCAAAAAGCTGCTAAATCGATGTCTACACTTTCATAGTTGCTCAAAACGCTGCTTACGCTCGAAACGCCCAAGACGCTGACGCAAAGTATTTACACCTAAGAGTAAAGTTAAGTTAAAGTACAAGTTTATGGCGGATTTGGTGATTTTGGGTATCCTGGCGCCAGCGCTGTGGCGCGGGGCCTGGCAACTTAACGCAAAATTAATGTGATTCCCCTATTCAGGTGGTTGAATTTCCCTAGAACTGAGTTTTCAACCAAATCTGCAGCCACAGAAATATCCGGACAAAAACTAGATTCTTTTTGAAAAATCTGTGTAGGAATAGTTAATAATAACGATAACTATAATGACCGTATAGTGATATGCTAGAAGTATTAACATCTAAATTGTCCTTAAACAACACATTCTGCAGAGAAGTAGTGAGATTGCGCGTGTAATGTAGTGTGGTGGTGCACCAAACATGGAAGTTTTTCACTTGACGCGCAAATTTGGGGGGATAAAAAAATAAAAAATAAGCTGTAAATTGCCTGAAACCCTGAAGCTTATAATCGTTTCCCCTAAGGGAAATACAACATACGGCCGCAGAACATCCTAGGCACGGCGAACCGACAGAATATTCCCTAGATAGTTGGATTGACGTGCCATAACATTGCAACGCCTAAGCGAGTAAGTCTTGGTGCGGATGCCGCGCACGTGCTATTCTTTGCAACTCTTCTTCCGCCGCCCTCGCCGTGACTCGTATGTGCTGAACTGCACCCTGGGCTCTAACGTTCCCCTTCCATCTTTTAAATAAACTAGATGAGTTAGAACTAACCACAAATCAATAACAAGCTGATATTGATTTGTGCTTCTTCAGCTACTCAATCTCTTGATAGGTAAAGCTCTGCGCATTGGCCAGTAACTGTTTTGCTCGCGTTACACATTCCACTTTTTTCACATACGATCTGACCTGTGGAATGGACGCTGGCAGCTAGCTATCCCATGACGGAGATGGAAGTCCCCACAGTTCCTTATTCAAGAAGTCCTATGAGAGCCTCTCTACTGTTGTTGTTCCAAAGCTAATGCCTGAAAGGAGAAAAGAAGCAATTCCCCACAAAGAAATGGGTCCGATTGTTTTTCCATCGGAATGTACAAAACAGTATTTTTCTATTGTCACGTTGGAAAGTGAGTATACAAAAGATTTAATAGCGCACATCTCGGAAACATAACTGTTTTCACCTCAACATGCTAACAGAACCATCTAAAGGGAAATTGCTGAAGAGCAGAAAAGGGAGAAATTCATAACAGCAAAAGTGCGCCAGTTTGCAGCGGCGCGACTTGACGGCTGCTTGCGCACAACCCCGCCCACTGCGATCGATGGCAGCCTGGCTGGTTGGCCGTGGGACGTTCATTGCCACCCGCCGACAACGAATGTGCGAGGAACGACGTTCAAAAGTGTCACACATTGTTTCTGCCCAACACGAACATCTCAGCAACGCAAATATCTTATTCAAGATGAACACGCCATGCGCATGTCCTGCGACTGCAATCACAAGCCACGTTGTATGTTGGATATTCCAACCAGAGGAACACTTTGCAAAATACAACCCACCTCGAAAGTTCCTATTAGGTACCACCCTTTCTCCACCCCATCCTACCTACCACCCCGCCCCCCCCCCCCTCCAGGTTTTCCTAACTTCCTTCTTTTTGTCCCGGTTTCCATTTGGACTCGTTCGACGAGGGGGGGTCTTGCACTTTCGTTGCTTCACTAGTTCCGGTTTACAAGTCTCACTCTGGTGAAACCTGTGAACTGTGTAACTAGAGCAAGCTCGTCGAGCCACCGTGGTAAAACTTGTCAACCCTTGCAAGCACACCAAGTGGCGCTCTCGATGGATCGACACGTTCATGAGAAAAAGCAGACGTGCAGTAAGCCCCCCCCCCCCCTGTCACCGAAGTGCCCCGAAATTTTTATGGTTCTCCCTTAAGCAATAAGAGACTCCTGTTGAGCGGAAGATGTAAAATAAACATGAAACAGGAGAAACGCAGAAAAGTCGACAGCAGAAAACTATTTTCGCAAGAACTTATACTACCCCTTCCTCCAGCGACGCAACATACGACCCCTTCGAAATCTCCAACGTATGACGTATCCTGATCCTGGTCGTATTTGGTCACTGGAGGGTTCTGTATTTGCTTTGAGGAAGACGTTTTCGGTTGTTGACTTTTCTTGGTTTTTACCGTTTCACTCGGGCTATACATAAGCTCTTCCCCCTTCACGACGGTTGTTCTTGTCTTTCAGGGAGTGAGGGGGGGCTGGGAGGGGCCCCGGTAAAAAAGGTAAAGAACTTGGGAAAATTTAGGAAATGGTGCGTAGGCTGGGAAACAAGGTATACCATAGTTGCAGATTGCCCAATGGGGGATGAGTCGTAAGAGGTGAGTCAGTCAGCAACAAACTGGTGTCAGTATCGCTAAGATTAGATTATCAAAACTTAGTCTGTAGAGAACCAGAAACTGTGAAAAAACACTGGAAAAATGTTGCTTATGTTACTTATTGTGTACCTTTACGAGCTTGATAGGTGTGACTTTATTGCGTTGGCCTAACATTTCGACCCAATCGTCGTTTTCGGAGGCCTTAAAGTGGTGAGAAGTTCCGATTTATGATCTAGTCCACCAAGCGCCTCATCTTTTCTAGCGGTTCCAACACTGTCGGAACCTCGAAGAGAAGTCCAAACAACCCAGAGAACAAACTCACCCAATGTTCCACCTTTTTGAGCGGCAAACCTACTTCCACATTTGAGTATTAGTAAGTGACAAATAATGCATACTGTGTCACTTCCTGATATTTGTAATATGTAATATATTTGTGCTATTTCGCCGAAGCGTTCCTTTCTAGAGCAACGCTGGGTCGCAGACTGTGAACAATGCCTTGGGCGTGTGGTTGGCAGTGCGGCAGGTGGGTGTAGAGTATGTAGACGGGATTGGGGTAT